CCCCATTACTCTTCATCAAGCAGCAAGCTTACATTACAACCATCTAACATTATTTTTCTCTGGTTTAAAAGAGATTTAGTGTGATGGCTGCAGGAGGTAACATGGCTTAGAACTGTTGATATGATGCAGAATATGCAAAGGCAATCTTAAAAAATAAAAACTTTGATTTGATCCAAAGTCCTGCCATAGAGCTTTTGAGTAGCACGGAGTGGCTGCCTGTCAAGCATTACCCTCTTGACAGACAGCAGGGGAAACCTGCATTATGCACAGCTTCATGCAAACTGATGTTTTAGCTGTGAGAGAAGGAGAGAGAGAAGAAGTATATACTGCAAGTATTTGGCCGATTACTGGCCTGCAATATCAGAGACCTACACAGTTTTGTGAAATATGGGGTTAGTCTGCTGAGAGAAATTGCACCACTGCTTCCTAACGTACACCCACTCATCTAAGATGACAAAGACTTTTGACCCAAAGCCAGCAACCGATTTCTGAAATACAAACATCTCATGGCCGCTGGACTGAGGAGAAGAAGCTGAGTAAGCAGCAGATGATTTGTTTACCTTTTTGTAACTGTCCTGTTCATTGATTGGATACAACAAGTTCAGAACTGTCATTTCGTGGTTTTTGCCATCTAGATCCTTCACCAGCACAGAAAATGACCTGCAACACAGACAAGGGGCAAATTCACGTGCACTGATATGGGAACAGGAATGTATAAACAAACTGAACACTATGTTGATTATCAACTCACCGTTCTGTAAATTTGACCTCCACATTATCTGCTGATATTTTGTGCACATCTTTCAATGCCAGATAAATTTTGACAAACTTATCTGACTGGTCCCATGCTGCAGAAAAGATGATACACATGTGAACAATTTTGAAATACTGTTTTTTCCCCTCCCCAGCTCTTGAACGCATCTTAACCGCTTGGTTTTCTCAGTAATGTTTGATAGTGCTACTCGATAACTGCCCCATACCATAGCTGGTAATCTTGACGGTGTATGCTGCCTTAGTGGCTGCAGATGGGTCTGCCTCCTTCCTAGCCTGTTGTTCTTTTTGTTGTCGTTTAGCTGCGAGCTCCTTCTCCACCTTTTTCTGCTCCTGTTTAAGCAGATC